TCTTGGTTATGGTAAATTACCTCTTCTTTTTTTTTTCATATGCTGGTAGTTCTTAGAGATTCAGTGATTCTTACAAATAATTAATACGAGGTTTGAACAAAAATGAAGAAAGGCAAAAAAAAAAAAAAAAAAAAAAATTCAAAACCATTTTGTTTTAGGAGTTGGATTTTCTTACATATAAATCTGTAAATTAATATTGTTTATTGAGTGCTGTTGTTTTGGCATTTCAAGAATCCATCTCCAAATTTTGTGATTTAAACAAATAAATGAGCTGATCAAAACAAGTTTTAGTTCACAACTTACAAGGCTTAATCATGATGAGTTTGCTACGAATTTGATCCTTGGTTCGGATCTAAAAGAAAAGAGAGAAAAAGCCAAAAAGAGTCGGCAAGATTTGAGAGAGGATTTATTCTCTTATTACAATAATTTTTCGATGATTCCTTCTTTGAATACATGCCTATATGTAGGCTATAAAGGTAGGAAGTTATAACCGACTAATTAGCAGAACAACGATCGGAGTAAAAGTCGCGATCTTTATCTATTATTTCTATTTCTCTATTCAGCTAACTTCGAACCTAATTTATTATAATGGAAAAGATATAATTACCCTTATACAAGCTTTATCCTTTTTATCCTGCGTATTATTTTCCTATTTCCTAATTTACTCTTGACTCCTTATAGAGTTGTAGATCCTCTTTCTTTAGGTGTTGTTAGTTTAAGGCTTAATTAGGGTTAGTTATAAGGTTTAATCAATTCTCAATGAATACATGCATTCCATACTATCTATAACATCCCAAAGACTTGAATAAATAAATTTTTTAAATTATTTTAGTACAGTGATGAACGGTGTATTATATTAGCATTATTTTGATGATAATAGATAATTATAATAGTGTGAATATTCATTTTAGTTTTTAATCAAAATATTGAGATATAAATTTGAAATTTACATAATAGTAATTCATTTGAAAAACATGAAAAACACGTGGTTGTAGGTCGATAAACAGACATCTCATTTGTAAGAATTCTAACACTTGATTACTATTTAGATGAGATTACGAGCAATATATTTATGCATATTTTATCAGATTTTTTTTATATAATCAATAATAAAAAAATAATTTATTTGATTTAAAAAAAAACGCTTGTTATTGGAGTGAAATAAAAATCAGAAACATAAGAATAAGAAGGAATATTACTATTCTTATGTTAAAGAATGAAAATGTCATTTATATATATATATATATATATATTTAACTTATATTTATTTTATTTTATAAATAAAAATTTAATTCTTATTACTTATTATATAACATATAATATGAAATTTTTATTATGTTGGTATTTATTTATAATGTATTATGTTTTTATTATATTTCCTATTCTAACTACATTTTATTTATTTTTATTATATAGTAATATATTTAAATAAAGATTAAAATAAAAAAAAATAAAAAAACTATGAATTCTCGATAATATATTTTTAATATTTTTATGTTACGAATTAAATTCTTTTGTCGAGCCTTATTTCATCCCCAACTGTTCAGATTTGGGTGTTATGAGTGGAGCAATCATATTCATACATGAAGATTTGAAGATAACCGAGGAGCAGGAAGAAGTTCTTGTAGGGATTTTGAGTATAATATCACTTCTTGGCAGCTTAGCTGGTGGGAGAATATCGGATTCTATAGGTCGAAAGTGGACAATGGCCTTGGCCGCTTTCATCTTTCAAACAGGTGCTGCTATAATGACAATTGCTCCTTCATTTCAAGTACTGATTATAGGAAGACTTGTGGTTGGGATTGGTATTGGTTTAGGAGTTACAGTTGCTCCAGTCTATATTGTCGAGATATCACCCACTGTTACAAGAGGCTTCCTCACCTCCTTCCTAGAGATATTCATGAATTTAGGAATCTTGCTTGGTTATGTCTCGAATTATGTGTTTTCAGGTTTTCCTGTACACATAAACTGGAGAATTATGCTGGCAGTTGGAATTCTTCCCTCTATTTTTATTGGAATTGCACTGTTTGTAATTCCTGAGTCACCAAGGTGGTTGGTTTTGCAGAACCGTGTAGAAGAAGCAAGATCAGTCCTGTTGAAAATAAGTGACAATGAGGTAGAGGTGGAGGAGAGATTTGCTGAAATACAACTTGCTGCTGGACATGCTAATGTAGAGAAATACAAAGAGAAAGCTGTTTGGCGCGAATTGTTGAGGCCTTCCCCTTCAGTTCGTAGGATGCTTATAGTCGGGCTTGGACTCCAGTGTTTCCAGCAGATTACTGGATCAGATGCCATTGTGTATTACAGCCCTGAAATCTTCAAGGAAGCCGGGATTAAGAGCAATTCAAAGCTTCTTATGGCTACAGTTGCTGTTGGAGTTACAAAGACAGCTTCATATTAGTCCCCACATTCTGATTGACAAACTAGGCAGAAAACCTTGCTTTATATTAGCACAATTGGCATGACAGTCTGTTTGTTCAGTTTATGCTTACCCTTGCTTTCCTAGGGAATGGACAGACTGGAATTGCATTAGCAATTTTGTTTGTCTGTGGAAATATGGCTTTCTTTTCTGTGGGGATTGGTCCTGTTTGCTGGATTTTAACATCTGAAGTTTTCCCTTTGAAGTTGCGCGCTCAAGCAACGGCTCTTGGGGTTGTGGGGAATAGGGTTTCTAGTGGCTTGATTGCCATGTCTTTTCTCTCCGTCACAGGTGCAATTACTTTTGCCGGAACATTCCTCATCTTCTCAGGAATCTCAGCTCTTTCGGTTCTCTTTATCTACGCACTTGTTCCTGAGACAAAAGGAAAATCATTGGAGCAAATTGAATTGCTATTTCAGGATGAAGCAGGGAGTGGTGAAATGGACATGAGAAATAACCAGCGTTTCGTGTAGAAAGAATGAATCATTAGCTACTGAAGAATTCACTATTTAACATATTTAAGTTATTTCACTAAAGAGATCAGACTCGAACAAAATCTCAATCAAAAGATTCACGTTAATAATGAAATTCATTCGTATCGAGTACCAATCTACCAGAGTTGGAACCTCTTTCTGTTCGATTTGCACGTATGTCACCAATGTTTATCATTCTTTACGAGTATCATAGTTACATTACTTATAACTTCCTTACACGTAAAGAAAATTGATTCAGAATTATCTTTTATTCCAATGCATAATTTATATCAACGTGTTTCATATTTGCACCTATAAATATAGTTATCCCAATTCTTTCACGTCAATCTCGACAGCCTCTTAACACTAATTTAGTCTACAATCCAAAATTAATTATATGATCCCACATGATTAATGAAATTTGAATTTACCTAATCGAATACAAGAAATAAAAATTAAACATCATCGAAAAATAAAACTGAAGTATGAATTTAACCTAAAAAACTGGAAAGTAAAATACCAAATTCAAATTCTTCTCATTCACCTTCCCGGATTCACACGAAAACACCTAACAGCTTTTAACAACCACCACTGCCCGGATTGAATGCATACATAAACATGGCGAAAACTAGCATTAGAAAAAAAAAATGCTATACATCTTCTCTATCAAATCCTAATTCCTACCTGTGCCAAATCACCATTCATCCCACCTACTCATAAAATCATTCCACATAGTTGCTGCAATGGAGTCGCGTAATTCTGAACCAATTTGTTCCTGTATCGAGGAAGTCAACTGCATTTCAGGTTGTTCATCGAACTCAGGCAACTCTTCCTCTGCCAGCCCCTCGATACCAGCAAACAACCAATCATTCTTTTCTTCTTTTTGGATGTAATTATGTAGAACACACGCAGCAATTACAATATCCCTCTGAATATGAAATGCATACTGAGGGGCAAGTTTGAGAATAGGAAATCGAGTTTTCAGCACATGAAAACACCGGTCAATCACATTTCTTAGGCAAGAGTGCCGGTGGTTAAAGAGTTCCTTTGCATTTCGAGGCAGTTGACTAGCACCTCTGTACTCATGGAGATGATACCGAACACCTGGATATGGAGCAATAAATCCTTCCATATTTATATATCCACTGTCAACCAGATAATATTTTGCTGTAACATTGAAAGATTAATGCCTCCATCAGACATTAAGGAAAAGCAGAAGAAACACTTATTTAAGTAAAATGGAGAAAGTTGAATGTTCAACCTGTGGGAACCTGAGGGAAATTCTGATCTGGATCATGTAAAACTGCTCTCAGCATACGGCAATCTGCTACAGAACCTTCCCAACCGGGGTATACAAATATAAACTGTAGATCAAACGTGCAAGCTGCCAGAACATTTTGAGACAAAAAGCCTTTCTTGTTACGGAACCGAGACTGGTCTTTTGCTGGGACATTTGCAGGAATTTGCAAGCCATCTATGACCCCAATACAATCCTGATGGCAAATGAGTCAAGTGAATGACATATGATAACGCACACAAAAAGAGAAGACAGGCTTCATAGAAAAAGAACCTTAAAATGTGGGTAAAATCTACTGCTATTGAGAATTTCTGGAGGCGTGGTGAGAGGAGGTGGCTGTAGGAATTCACGTGACAAAGACTTAACTGCCTTCAAAACATTGTTGAAATGTCGACTTATGGTTTCCCCTGAATGCTGAAACCGCTCTTGGATTACTCTATTCCGTTCATTAAGACCCACAATGTTTAAGAAAATTGCCAATTGTTCCTCTATCATAACACCAGCAGTGTCGCGCAACATGCCTCTCTGTCGAAGGATGTCACATAATTTGTGAAAGACATGTTTATCCATCCTAAACATATCCCGGCATATCTCATCAGGTCCCTCCAGTACTTCAGCCATAAATCCACTGTCTTTGGGTGACAAACTAGGATGAGGCTGCTTCGTTATACTGTTATAATAATAGTAACCAGCAGCAGCAGCAACTAATTCCATTTCATCCAATTCTAGGTCAAAGTCTTCCATCCTAGGTGATGTATCTGTAAAGATTAAATACAGTATACAAGAACATAGTGCATTCTCAGCATTTCATTCATAAATAATAGCCCCCAAACACAAAAGTATGCGAAGAATATTAAAAAAAAAATAACAAATGGAGATTAATAAATAAACGAATTGGCCATCAAATATGAAGATAACCGGTTGCAAGTATAAGAGTTCCTTGGCAAAACTATCAATGTATAGACCCCAACCAAGGTAACAAATAGTAGTATCATCCCAACTATTCAACTCTACACTTCCCCTGTAACCATGGCAACCGTTTCTCACTCTTGAGAGAGATGAATGTTTCTCGGGCATTGGGGTTCTCAAATAAATCCAAGGCAAGAAAGTACGTCCGTTGATCAACACCTTGCATCTCATCCAGTACTTTGATGCATTTGCTTATAGAAAACCTGTCCTCATTCTTCAAAATTGCAGTAGCCCTCATTCTTGAAGCAGTTGCAATTTCTAGCATAGCATCCACAATAGCATCACCTGTAGCTTTACGACTTCTCTTGCGACGTCCAGAACCAGATGCTGTCCCTGATGGACGTTTGTTGTGTCCATCTAACATGTTCACATCATCACCAGAGCCAGAAGAAGCATCCTCATCCACATAATTCATTGCCACACTAGGATCACCAGACATTATTTATACACATCAATAATTGAGAACTTTTGCTTCCAACTCTCTTCATTCCGAAAAAAAAAACAACATATCCAATAATCATTGTAACCTTATAGGTAAAGCACCAATAGAAAAGGAAAAATTTAAAAACAAACACAGCTTGAGTAGGAGAAAATAGTCATCTTCTAAGTATCAATTCAAGTTCCACATCAGGCTGCAAATAAGGAGAATAAATGCCCGAACCACAAACAAGAGGCATAACATAATCAATTCATCCAGAATTTGAAATAGCTTCCTGAAGAACAATCAAATATCATAGGGAAATAAAGTCTCATCGTTCCAAGCAAGCACCTATTTTCAATGTTACTTATGGGCTGTTCTCCCACCTCTGAAACTGACTTTATTTGGAAAAAAATTTGCGGTTATTTGAGATAAAAAAAAAAAAAAAGTATAACATAGAAGGGCACAAAGGGGGTGCGCTCTTGTAGAAAAGAAAGCAAACCTACACAGGAGTAGAG